AATTTGAGCGCAATTTCTGATGAAAAGAAACAAATCAAGGAAAAGAAATAACAAATATTAGGAATTGGTAATTAAGTTAAATAATTACAATTTTTCAGAAACAAAATCGAAAGGCGACATATAAAAAAGCACGCAAAGAAGAAATGTCTGGCAACACCAGCAAAGTTTTGTGACGATTTTGCGACGACTGCTAGAAAGGGGTGCTCACAGTTTGATGCTAAAGATGTCACAAAATGTAGACGTCTACATTTTCAGACACAATTTGGAACGAACTGTGAACACCTCAATAGTCGCCTTAGTTTCGACTCTTCTGGCTAAGTACCAAGTTAAAATTTAGTTTCGGCTGCAGTTGCAACTAAGTCGTAACTAGGAAGAAGTATTTTATCAAATTAAGGGAAAACAGACGAAATATGTAAAAATTAAGTTGGTAGAGGGTGATTTTGATTATATTGAATAATCTCCAATTAAAATTTACAAAGATCGGTCCATTTTATTCGGAAGATGAAATTAAATGCGTATTTCAATTCGAATAAAGCTAAATCACAAATTTATAATTGGAATAATTTGTATAAATTATCAAATAATAAGTCAGTTTGACGCTAGTTCCTTTAAAGTAAATTTGTGCATAACATTTAGATATCTACTATTTGTATGTTTCACAGCATAACGATAAACATCGACTTCACATCACTGCGGTTGTTCTGGCTATTTCACACAATTAACAAGAAAAGATACCTTATTCTTTTGCATAATCATGCAATGAAAATAAAAATTACATAAACGGATGATCAAACTTGACATTATTTAATAAAAATGTAATTTTTCTAAAGTATCGTAAAGAAAAATCGATACATTTTCACACTCATTTTGCTATATCGTAAACTAAGGGCCGGGTACTCATTGTCTGGTTAACACTAATCTGCGGTTAAACATTGTTATCGACGTCTTCGACTCCATGCATACAACAGGGAGTCGGTAACGTCGATAACTATGTTTAACCGGAGATTAGTGTTAACCAGACATTGAGTAACCGGCCGTTAGTTGCTGGAATGAATACGCGCCTTTGTCCTTTCTCTTCGATTTTTTAAATATTTTAAACCGATAATATAAAAACCTTAAATTCCCAATTGTAGAAAAACAAATCGCTTGTAAACGTTAAGAAAACTGTATATATTGCAAAAAAAACTTTCATCAGTTCAACTTCGGCTACGCCACAGTATTTTTGAATTCACTCCAAAATTTACGGGAAAGTTCATATTTCAAGCGTGTACAACAAGAACCCAAATCACTGTACAAATAGCCGAACCGTATTCCGACTTTTACATGATTATTTATCCATTCAAAGTATCAAAAGGATCAAGAATCTCCAAAATTTTACTAACCCTGGCGGCATAAGTGCAGAATACGGCCCGTTAAGCTAGAACAAAACGAAAAAGTGGGCGTGATCCGCCTTTTTTCCTCATTTTATATGTATACATTTTTTTTGGTGCAATCTTATTTTTCGGTGCTATGGAGGGGCGAAGGGGGAATTTTCGAATATTTAAAATGGCTATATTTCGAAAAATTCCCGACCGAATTTAAAAAAATTGATACCGTTAGAAAGGTAAACAAAACCCCTTCTAGTATACACATTTGTATAATTTATGTGCACTAATTTTAAGAAAACTCATTTAATAGAAAAATTCTTTAATTTTCTAGGAAAAACCCGTTTTACTAAAGTATATATGTAAATAATGATACACCAAACTATAGTAGGTAAATAGAGCATAAAATACCTTTCATTTAACATATAACTTTATATAGTTAGACTTAAATACGTGAGTAATTTTGTTTTACTGGTGTTCATGAAGGGAGAAATGACCATACTGATGCACGATTGAGAGAATACAAAGGTTGCGCCGATCTCGGACCGCTATTCCTCTCTGAACGAATTTGACAGAATCGTGGTTTGCATGACGTCACACTTGTGCAACTTATTTACGTTTTCCTTGCAACATTTTTTCTTCTTCTTCCATTCTTGCTCACGTTTTGGCATTTCTCTCTCGCAATTGCACCAGTGTGACGTCACACAAAAGTTATTCTCAAAAATCCTCTCTGATCGGCGCAATCTTGTATTCTATCATTCTTGATACGCATAAGCCGCATACGCAGAAAGGTGTTCTCTGCAAAAGGTGTCCAGCCCCCTTTGGCAACAAAAAATATATATTTTTTCTATTAAATGATTTTTCTCAAAATTTATCCACATAAAGTATATTAATATGTATATTAAAATGTAAATAAATTTTAGGTAATTATCTAGTGTAGGGTAACAACCCCTAAAAAAGGTCCGGAAAAGTCGGGAGGGGTACCAAACGACGCGTTTTGGCCCCCCTATTAACAATCTGGAGGGGGAGGGTTAATATTATTAACCATTTAAAAGTTATAAGCAAAAAACTTTTGTTAAATTTCGTTGTTTTCTATGAGCAATTACCACGTCAAAAATGCACAAAATACCCAGTTTACACTTTTAAAACACTATTAAAACGTCTCTGGTTATTATTTTATGCAAACCAAATCATTTATTCAATTTTTTTTATATATTTCGTTAATAAAACAGAGTAAACAAACTTTGCGCCTGCCAAAATTATTATAACCTCAAATCGCTGGTATGGCCACTTTATTTGCGCTATTATACTCAGTTTACACCATGATACAATAATTTTTAGAAGGTAGTTTCACTTCAAAATTTTTGACATAAACCGTGTCTGTGACAAACACGCAATGTGGCCACTGCTACGATATAGAACTTGGGGATTATCGCTTGTTATTTTAGATATTTTTTAACAGAACATGTAAAAATTTATATGTTTCATAACTGATCACTTAATTTTTAATATAAATATTCGTATATTATACATACATTTTTGCCACTGCTAATTACATGAATAAAAATCATAAAAATGAAAATATAACAGCAATATTTCTTGTTTATAATGGATTAGATCCATCGCACACCACGGACTTTATCGGCCGCCAATTTAAATGTGCTCGCTAGTCTTTCCATTGCACCACAACTTATTGGTCAGAGCGATTAAGCTGGTGTAATGTGCGCACCTCCATACATCTTCATGTACATATTTCAAGCGAGCCCTATCATTTAAATAGGCGGCCGTCAAAGTCTGTGGTGTGCGGTGGCTCTTATAGCTGTGTCCTTACACCCATTCCGTGTGTTGCAATATCCACGAAAGCAGCAGTTAATTTTTTATGAAGAAAATTATTACAACATATTCGAAAATTTCTCTACTTGTTTGGCTTTTCTTTGTTTTATTTTTCCAACGTCAAAAGCTTTTTTTTTTTTTAAAAGTTGGTACAACAAAAAATACGAAACACGTTTTCTGTCAGATAGTTAACATGGCGGATAAGAAGAAGAAGTGAAACTACCTTCTAAAAATTATTGTATCATGGTTTACACTATACACTTCTACTTCTTCTTCTTTTTTTACTTTCACCTAAATAAGATATTCTAACCAAAATATAATAGCAAATTTCGCTATGCCATGGCAGCGCTACATTTATGGTTTACAGTTATTATAAAGTGCGATTTTTTATTAAAAATTTTCATTATTTATCAAAGTATTGTTTTTTATGAAAAAATCGCGCGATTTTTTATTAAAAATTTTCATTATTTATCAAAGTATTGTTTTTTATGAAAAAATCGCGCGATTTTTTATTAAAAATTTTCATTATTTATCAAAGTATTGTTTTTTATGAAAAAATCGCGCGATTTTTTATTAAAAATTTTCATTATTTATCAAAGTATTGTTTTTTATGAAAAAATCGCGCGATTTTTTATTAAAAAATTTCATTATTTATATATATATTAAACGAAAGAAGTATCCGAAAAGCATTGAACAGTGCACACACCTTATAAGGAAAAGTGAATTATTACGAAATACTAATACAGTGGCAGCTATAGCTATTTTGGAATCTCGCGTTTCAGTTCGCAGATTGTCAACTTCTTTTTAATAACAAAATAATCTATCTTAGGTTGATAAAATTATGTGTTTGTTTAATAAATAAGTTAAATTATATATTTGAATAGTGTTTAAAAAGTGAGAACAAGTGATTTAGTGAATCTTTGTCGGTGTAATTGCCCATAGAAAACAACGAAATTTAACAAAAGTTTTTTGTTCATAACTTTTAAATGGTTAATAATATTAGCCTTCCCCCTCCGGATTGTTAATAGGCTGACCGAAACGCGTCGTTTGGTACCCTTCCGACTTTTCCGGGTTGTTACCCTCCACTAGAGAATTACCCAAATAATTTTTATAATTCAATTCAAAATAACCTTTTTTTGATTTTTATTTTGCAAAATTTATTTTTCAAAATACATTGTTAACCTAAAATAAATAGTTAGTAATCAATATTATGAATAAAAATTACAATTAACATTAATAATAAAGATATTTTTACATACATATGTGGTTGCTTAATTGCTTATTATTACTACTACTCGTTTGCATATAGCTGTTTTCAAAAGTTGCAAAAATTCTATAAAAAAGTTAAGCGATTTTAACAATGTTATAATCAAAAGAAGGGCAATCGATTTACCTTTCTTTTGATGTATATTAACAGTTGCAAATCATTTATACTGGTTCAAAAAAATTCAGTTTCATTACAACTTTGCAAAATTTGATTGCGTTTTTCCGACTTATATATAGACGCTTTCAAATGTTGCAAAATTTCTATTAAAAAGTTAAGCGATTTTAACAATTTTATAATCAAAAGAAAGGTAATCGATTTACCTTTCTTTTGATGTATATTAACAGTTGCAAATCATTTATACTGGTTCAAAAAAATTCAGTTTCATTACAACTTTGCAAAATTTGATTGCGTTTTTCCGACTTATATATAGACGCTTTCAAATGTTGCAAAATTTCTATTAAAAAGTTAAGCGATTTTAACAATTTTATAATCAAAAGAAAGGTAATCGATTTACCTTTCTTTTGATGTTTATAAACAGTTGCAAATCATTTATACTGGTTCACAAAAATTCAGTTTCATTACAACTTTGCAAAATTTGATTGCGTTTTTCCGACTTATATATAGACGCTTTCAAAAGTTGCAAAATTTCTATAAAAAAGTTAAGCGATTTTAACAATTTTATAATCAAAAGAAAGGTAATCGATTTACCTTTCTTTTGATGTTTATAAACAGTTGCAAATCATTTATACTGGTTCACAAAAATTGAGTTTCATTACAACTTTGCAAAATTTGATTGCGTTTTTTCGACTTATATATAGACTTTGACTATGTGTAGCTTCTAGCGGCCAGTTGCATAAATTACTTATATCCATGGAGCCGCTCGAGAATAACACATTGACATCATGTGTAACCAAATTTTCGGAATTCGATAGTGGCGCTTGTAGCGTTATGTCTTGTGACTGGCTTGATGCAGCAGTAGTGTCTAAAACAATTATCTCATCTGGCGCTTGCAAACATTCGTAATTTTCCTCATCCTCAGTTAGATTAAATTGCAATTTGATGAGAGTATAAGTTTCCGCTAAATATTAAAAAAATAAATAAAACAATTATAAGTTGCAAAATTGAAGTTCATTAGTAATTAAGCAACTACCTCGTCTGAATCGAGACATTTCTAAGGATGCTTTGTCAGACTGTCCCTTGCCCTTTCATCCAACATGTTGAAGACCTTCATTATCCAATGACTCCGATATATACAATCTAAACGAAAAATTAAAAAAATTTAAATAGCTAAAAATAAATAATTTATATATTAAAATATATATTTTTTATAAACGTAGCTGCTGATGCTTCAACACGTCTTTTGCACAGCAATCTGAAATTAAAATAAAATGGTAAAATTATTATTGTGGATGCAACCAGTTAGATTCTGATATCTGAAAAATAAAGTAACAAATTATTATTTCTCAAATGAAATATAATTCATAAATAATGGATTTTATTTATACAAAAAGCAGATGACTATAGTTTAGTAAAAATCAGCTTATTTAGATAAAATCATGCTCATATTTACAAGACTATTAATTAAGTTAATTCAACACCAATTTAAACATTTCAAATAAAGTTTAAAAAATATATTAATATTTTTAAAAAGGGACAGAAATAGGGTGAAGAAGTTTAAGATATACAAAATTATATAACACATTCAGGAAGCAAATATGATGTTAGAAAAAATTTTTTTTTAGTATTTACATTAACGATGCACATAGCAAATAAAAAGAAAGTAATGTAAGTATTTAACTAAGGTTATTTTCTTATAAAAATATAATTCATTCTTTGACTAAATCTTTAAAATTATTTCGACCACTGTATATTAATATTTACAGCTATTTTTTTAATATTTACATTTACGAATCAATTATATAGAGTGCTTCACAATTATACATCACCCACTTATTGAGAAGTTGCGACCAATAATTTGTATATTTTGTAATTTTTTTATGAAAAATTAAGTTCATTCTTTAACAAACACCATATCGACAGCCGGTTCGAAAGCAGCCATTCTCAGAATTCGGTTGAACGCCCTATCTCAGAATTTGGTTCAAAAACTCCGTATCTCAACTGAAAAAATGTGTGTGCATATATTGAAAATAAGATAGGGCGAACTGGCTGTCGATATGGTGTTTGTTAAAGAATGAACTTAATTTTTCATAAAAAAATTAAAAAATATACAAATTATTGGTCGCAACTTGTCACTTGATGTATAATTGTGAAGCACTCTATAGAGAAAATAAGAAAAAATTAATTACTATTTTGGCATCTTCTTCGATTTTGCTTATATCTATTATGACTTAAAACTACATAGTGCTTGATTGCTAAAATTTTGTCAGAGTGCATACTTGCAAATGCGGCTGTTAGTATTTTTTATAAAGTTATAAGTTTATATAAGTTTTTATAAACCATTACAAACCATACAAATACAATTTGGTCTTTCGGGAATAAATTATTGAGCCAAAGAGATATTTAAGAAAACTAAACATTTTTCAAATAGATTAAAGGATTGTCTATCCAATAGTGCAATTATCGAATAAAAGTGTATTTGGCATTTACACTGTTTCTTTATTCGAGCGACGATATATATATACATATTTCCACTGCACTTTCCTCTTTTTACCTACATACGTATGTACACATGTACGTCGTTGCAGCTGCGCTTTGTACAAAGGTACTTGCACTTCACTTTCTTTTGTTTAACTGCATACATATCTACACACTTATGCAGTTGCAACTATTTCCACACATATGTATGTATACAATGTAGGTACCCAGCCAGCATTTGGTCGATGCAACTACAACAACTGATGCAAATGCAGCGGATGCAAATATTGTTCCTGACCGAAAATGTCTGTTTTTAAAAACGCATCAATAATATACATATACATATAATAATTTACACAATTTACATTAAACTCAGTTGGCACAAATTAAGTAAATTTGCTGTTAATTGGAATTAAAAGAAACTGATTTTTATATTGTTGCGCTTAGAAAAACAGACATTCTACTGGACTTTTCACATTTATTGCACCACACTTTTTGCTGTTTACATATCTACCTAGTTGCACTTTTAACATACAAAAGTACATACATATTTGCATTGCACTTGGAGCAACCGCGTTTCTTAATATTTAAACCAGTCATGCCCAACGTCGGCAGAACTCCATAAGCAAATGCCCTGCGCTGGCAGAATTCCATATGCAAGTGCCCTGCGCTGGGCATGACTGATTTGAACAATAAAACTCACCGAACAATGTAGCTGGTATGATGTAGGGTTGAGAGCTATTGGTGACCAATGGTGTTCAGTGTGCTGTGGATGTCTTTGCAGATGTTTGGCAATATAAAAGAAATAATTACATTATAATCAAATGAAACTGTTAGCAATGGTTAAAGGCTGACTTCCAAGTTGGTATATTGCAAAGCATCAGCCTCGTTTATTTCTAAACTATAACTGATGGAAGTGACCACGACAGTCGGATCTACGTAACCGGAACGACCCAGATTTATATCTGGCCAAGGACTGTCACTCCAGCAACACTCCCTAAAAAGTCTTTGGGGAGTTTGTATGCTGTTACAACAACAACAACAACCAAATTGCCCAACTAAGTTCCAATTCGACGTTTGAACATGGTTGCGCTTATTGCACTTTTCCATTAGTTATATTTAGTTTAGAAATAAAAGAGGCTAATGCTTTGCAATATACCAACCTGGAACTCAGCCAAACTATGTTAAATTGGGAAACTTTAGTCTTCTTACCTTCAAGGTTCTGATGCCTTAAGTCTCCTGCTGATGTTTGGCTATCTATGGATATATAAAATATACATATATGTATTTAATAAAAGAAAAATTACATTTAATCAAATTAAATCGCTTCTACCTCCAAAATTTTTCGCGAAATTGATGTTTTTCTTCGCAGCCTACTAGAATCAAATTTGAAATTCGCTGTCAAATTTCGCCTGATTTTCACTTGCTCGCTCTAACGCATATAATTCTTATTAAGAGTGCGAATTCTTATAGCTACGCTGCTCTTACTTATGGAAACTTTTTTCGACAACTTTTGAGTGTGTGGGTGAGATGACAAAAAAGTTGGGTATGTGTTGGTAAATCCTCTGCCAGCCAAAAGTGGTGAAAAATCTGGTGAAACCGGGGGTTTCGTTCACTTCAAAACTGGTGAAAAATCTGGTGAACTTTGTATGGGCGGTGTGCAGATTTTCACCAGTTTCCCCCTGTACGTGTGAGCCTTGCATCACTGTCGCACTCATTCAGATACTTCCTAAGGAAAACATATAGCTGCATTGCCCACTTCAGCTGGCGCAGGGTTGCATTCTCTTCACAGCGAATTCAAAATAACCTTAAAAAGTTTAAATAAAAAATCTTAAAATTTTTTTGATTTTTATTTTGCAAAATTTATTTTTCAAAATGCATTGTTAACCTAATATACATAGTTAGTAATCCATATTATGAATAAAAATTACAATTAACATTAATAATAAAGATATTTTTACATACATATGTGGCTGCTTAATTGCTTATTATTACTACTACTCCTTTGTATATAGCAGTTTTCAAAAGTTGCAGATTTTCTATAAAAAAGTTAAGCGATTTTAACAGTATTATAATCAAAAGAAAGGTAATCGATTTACCTTTCTTTTAATATATATTGACAGTTGAAAATCATTTGTACTGGTTCATAAAAATTCAGTTTTGTTAGAACTTTGCAAAATGTGACTTTTTCACTTCTTACATATAATGTTTTCAAAAGTTGCAAAATTTCTATAAAATAGCTCACCGATTTTAACAATATTATAACCAAAAGAAAAGTAATCGATTTACCTTTCTTTTAATATATATTAACAGTTGCAAATCATTTGTAATGGTGCACAAACATTCAGTTTCGTTACAACTTTGCAAAATTTTACCACTTTTTCACTGCTTATATATAGCTGTTTACAAAAGTTGCAAAGTTTTTATGAAAACGTAAAGCGATTTTAACGGTGTTATAATCAAAAGAAAGGTAATCGGTTTACCCGGTTCAGAAATGTAAGTTTCGGTTA